ATTATATGGCTCTCACTGAAATAAATTTCCAAACATTTGCTGTCTTGGCTCTGTGGGTCAAGCAGGTTCCCGACCCCTGGCCTAGACAAACGTGCAGACTTCTGAAAATGAACCAGCCATATTTTCTGCCATTCATTCACATGGGCATAAGGCTATAAATAAACGGAACCGCAGTATAATAAAGTCCTTTGCGCACGAAGGTAGCAGCCTTATGAAAGAAGTCAAATTTGACCCACATTTGACAACCCATTCATAGACAATTCTACATGATTTGAATAGTTGCAGTTTTCAGCCATTATTTATCGTTTGTGATCCTCCGATGTTATCTGTTTTGCGTACCCATTTTCATGCACCGTGAATGAAAGAGGTTTTGCTAAATAGTCCAGAATGACACCTTTAAAATGAAGATTGTCTCTCTCTCTAACATGCTGACAGAATTAGTCTGCAGTCTTTGACATCTAAACGTCCTCACACTCCTCCTCCCCATACTTAGTGTTCGTTGGCTATGAAACATTTGGCTACTTCAGACTGACTGAATATTATTCTATTGCTATGAGCATGATGAGGAAAAAAACTCGCGTATGTTGATCCTGTCTTCCTGCATGTTAAGAGCATCTAGGGGCTAATATGGCCATTATTAACCCATTTGTGATGCAAATGATATGAGAGTTCTTGGGTACGCAAAACGCCTAATTCTATTGCACTTAGATGCAGGCCTCTTATTTCGCTTCATAGCACATGCGCCCAGCATAGCAATATGTATTGTCTGGCTTTATAACACAGAAGAGATTTCCTTTTTGTGTATATAATCCGATGTTCAAGATACGCTGTCTTTTTTGTCAAAATGTTCGTAATCATGAAAGTTTGCAACACGCATAAATGAAAAGAACTGAAATACGTCGGCCCTAACATGTAATTTACAAAGGGAACGAAGGTCACCAAATTCCCCTTTTCCTGTGTCTTCGTGTGCTACCCCGCAAACAGTTACTTACGAATAAGGGTTGCCAGGAAAACGGTTAACATGCGTCAATACCAAATTTTGAACAGGAGTTTTCAACTCAGCATGATAGGTGTAGAGTCCAGGCGATGCAACCTTTAGGAAATAATCCAATTAAGCTCTACCTCCGGAGCTTCATCCATGAAAACAGATAATCTAATCGATCTGAAGACAAATCGTGGCATAAAAAGGCTAACCAAGGACCTGTTGAAGGAGAGCGAAATTCCAGATGATATTCCGAGACAGTCACCCAGTTGATAACACATGTCTCTAAGAATGTTTCTTACAAAGCCATAGCCACTTTTTACCGCTGTTTGGTTTAACAGTATGGTTTCATAGCACCGGAAGTGTTTTGTCATGAATTACGGTACAAACGTTGAGGAGAGGGACTGCGGAAACTGTGCAACTGGGTAAATAGATGCAAACGCTGACACAAGGCGTTTATTCGCCCGACGTTACGGATTCCTTCTCACACCCATCATCAGAGAACGTAGCAGA